ATATTTAATTAGTACATAGTTCAGTTTTTTAGTCATATTATGACAACGCTTAGATTAGAACAAACGTTATATTATTGTTATACAATTATATTTTTGTTTATACATATTTGGTGTCATGTTGCGTAGTGTAAGCTTTTTGTGCGGGGCATCCAAGTTGTGTGAGCTTTTGGGACGTGTTGTATACTTTAGTGTAGTGTTTGCGAGGGTTGGGCACTCGTCTCCGGTGTATTACCCCCCGTATAGGCCGGATCATATCAGGATCGAACCACCGATCCCTCAGTCCGTAACTCGATCTGTGCAATGAACGGGTCATTCAATTGTATTTTAGTGTTTGGTTTAATAATATTTTTCATATCAACAATAAAGACATCGCTATTAATAAATTAAACAAATATTAAAATACAATAAACATATAAATGCAACAAAAAAAGTCTAAAGTAATGAATAAATTAGTTGTGAAATACGTTACAGAGAAGAATATTACAGAGTATTAATTATATTGACACATGGTGTTTATTTAATAAATGATCAAGGGTATCAATGTATGGTGTATTTGACCGATTAGAGTGACAGTACAAGTATTTATGGCTATTTAGACAAATACTGCCACTCATTCCCAAAACACTAGTTTTAAAAATAAGTTTAATTTGTTTTAATAAATAACGGAATTTTTATTTATTGCAGGCATTAATTTCAAACACATTCAAAATGTAAATGTTTATTATAAACAAAAATTATTTATTAATTTTTATATTAAACTTAATGTTAACTAAAATCATTTGTTTTACAAATACTAAATAAATTGCTGTTAAATTCAATGAAAGCCAAATGTGTTGAATATTTGGCCACAATTGTTATCATATGTGTATTCTTTGTTTTATTTGCATTCAAACCGCTAATCATTAATTCAACACTAATATAGATATTAATGTTTGTTTTTAATTAACTATTCATTGAAATTTACAATTTCACCCAAATATAGCGAAAAGTGGACACATTTTTCACTATAATTCAGTGTTTGTACAGAAATATGAAAACAATCCAACAGTAATCCAATTCTCACTAACCATTCTCACTAACCATTCTCTCTCCTATTGTTGTCATAAAATAGCTTTTTTTCTCCACTCCCTCTCCCATTACATCTCCCATACACTCGTCTCTCTCTCGAAATGGTGTGGAATATATTGTTTGAAACGTTGGGCCAAATACTGGCTGAAATACTTGGCATGTATTGCAGTATCTAATTGTGTGTGCAATCAATTCATTACATTCTCGGCATTTGTATTAATAATAGTAACCGTATTCCGGGAGTCAGCCGTATATTTATAACCCAGACTTCGCCCCCTCTCTGCCCCACAGACACAGACCTTCAATGCATGCTATGTATGAACGACCCAAACACCCCTCCCCTCCCCCTCACACACAACTCATACAAAGAATATTCATTTCAACACAAATCTCGATATTTTGTTCAAAACAATAAAATCCAGTAAAACTCATTACATGTCAACATTTAGTTAATCATTGCATTTACATAGAAATAACGCTAAGCATTAACTGTATAATTATCTACAATGTATTGTCAATGCATTTGTATTAATTGAATTAAATTAAATAAAAGAAAAATACAATTAAAAGGTGATATAGTTATGTGCGGGTGGGTTGTAGTGTAGTTTTGGCAGTTTGTTGTACTGTATGGGCCTTTAAACGTATGAATGTGTGTTCAATACACAACTGCCTGTAGTATAGCGTAAAGCATATGACGAGTCCAACAGTAAATCAAGGGTAAGGGATGTGTTGTACGAGTAGTGAGGGTGTGTTCTGTGAGCACTATTTTTAGCCCTTGTCTTCGCTTAGAGAGCGTTGCTTTCGGACAATCATTGCATACATTCACACACTTTTGACTATTAATTGCGTTAAAACTCATTAAAACAAATAAATAACTACATGAATGGCGGAGAGGGATGACGACAATCATATCGTAGGGGTTATTGGAAATTAAAACAAAATTGCGCTCAAGTTGTGAGCAAAAGTGTGGATAGCGTTGTTTGACATGTGTTTGAATGGCAGTGAATGGGCAACAAAGGCGTCCTCGACGCTCATCGAGACGGCACTCTATACACACACATTGACTGCTTCACTGTATTGTGCAGTGGAGTTGGGGTTGAGTTGAAAGCGAAGGGAGAGTTGGCTGTTGTGGTGCTGAGAGAGTGAGTGCAATGGCTTTGCAATGTGTGACTCAGACAAAGAGGGGAGAGATGGCGAGTGTATGGGAGATGTAATGGGAGAGGGAGTGGAGAGTGGTTTGAATTTGAGAGGGAATAGAGCGGTGGTGTGTGTGTTGTGTGTTGTGTGCGATCGCATCACTGCTGCCATTGGTTTATACAACTCTACGATAAGTCCAATGCTTTGCAAAACACTATCGAAAACTGTTTGCGAGCTTTTGTTCCCTCAAAATATTGCATTCATTTCTCAATGCATTCATACATTCAGTCATTATTTGTGAGACAAGAAATACAACACTTTTACTGATCGTTGAGAAAACAAATCACTGATTCATTATTACCACTCAAACCATGTCTTGTTATCTCATTATCTGATCACTTGTCGCGCATCCACACCGTCGAGACAACTTAGTGGACACTTCTTTGTTGTTGTCATTGTTTGATACGAGTTGTCGTTGTCTTCTCGCACTCTCTCCGCCACACGAGTGGATCACTTACCAGACAATAAGCCATTGTTTGTCTCGTCGACAACGACTGCCAACATTACTGCCAACGGATCCGAAATGATGGCAACACTGGCCTCGTCGTCGTCGGTGTCGCTGTCGTCGACGTGCTCTCTGTCCACAATCAACGACATCGCAGCCGAACTCATCACAAGCAACTCATCGCCCAACTCAGTGATGGGCCCCACCGTCACCCCCACCGCCATCAGCAACACCAGCAACAGTCCATTGGGTGACACTAATAACCATCACTCGATTGTCTCGCGCCGCCAATCGGTGTCACCGCCAGTGGTCGGCCCGTCGCTCAGCAAATGCCCGCTTTGTTCCGAGTCTTACGTTCAGCCAAAAGTGATGGCCTGTTGTTTCGCCACCTTTTGTCAGACCTGTCTGGAGAAGGTGTTGGACGCGCCCGACCGCATCAAGTGTCCCGGTTGTGGCCACGAGTCGCTCCTCCCCTCCAACGGCGTTCAGGGTATGTATCGGCCGTTTTGGCCACCCTTTCACTCGAGACGATAGGATGACAATTAATATGCTTTGTATGATTAGGTCTACTGTCAGACTACGCGACTGTGAATATGTTGGAACAGATCGCTGTATTGGACGCCAGCATATCGTCCAACGCTAGCATTTCGTGCACCGGATGTAAGAGCAAAGAGTTGGCGGCCGTCGCGCGTTGCTTCGATTGCGCCAACTTCTTGTGCCCCAACTGTGTTATGGCCCACCAATTCATGCACTGCTTCGAAGGCCATCGCGTGATCACTCTCGGCGACCACCAACACAAAGACATCTCACACCCGCACCGACCGGTCATCTGCTGCAAGCACTCGGAAGAGATGAAGTACTACTGCCGCAGTTGCGATGTCCCGCTCTGTAAGGAGTGCTGTGTCTTCGACCACCCGAAGGGCCTTCACGACCACGAATACCTTTCCGACGCCGCACCCAAACAGGTCTGTCTTAACTCATCTCCACTTCCAGTCATTTATAACGCCATTGCCATTGAATTATGAGTTTTTCTTTTGTTTGTGTTTTTTTCGCAAATTTAATTATAATTTTTCAAATATTTTTGTTTCACTTTTTCTCTCGATTTCTATCATTAGTTTTAATTTTTTGGTTATTTTCTCCCATTTTTATATTGAATATAAAAAAATTTTTAACGCTTGACTTAAGCTTAAAATTTTCGACTCTCTTCACTTAACGAACAAATTATTGAACCTTTTGTTCGCTTTTTCCAGATTTCTATCTCTCTGTTTCTGTTACACCAAATCTCCCCTCTATTCCCAACCCCTCTCTCAGACCCCCTCTCCTCCACTCTCTCTCTCTCTCTGTGTTTCAATATCTCTCCTCTCTATTCGTATTCTATATATCACTCGTATTTTTGTTGTCTTTTTTCTGGCATTTATTTCTATTATAAGTTCAATAACTTTATTATTATTTAAGAAAAAGTTTCTCTCTCTGTTTCAATATCTCTCCTCTCTATTCGTATTCTATATATCACTCGTATTTTTGTTGTCTTTTTTCTGGCATTTATTTCTATTATAAGTTCAATAACTTTATTATTATTTAAGAAAAAGTAAATATATTTCTATTATAAAGTATGTGTTTTTGCGCTCTTTTTTATTGATGGCATAATAAATGCATAAAATATATAATGGTTTTGATTGTGAAGGAGTGTGTGATTGACATGTTATGTGTTGACTGACAGGTCGAGCAGTTGACCCGAATGGTAGACGAAGGTCGGGTCAAAATGAATGAACTAAACCATACGCTCAAGACGTTGGATGGGGTGACAAATCGGCTCCAAATGCAGCACCAAAAGGCTGGGCAAGAGATAGCCGAAGCCTATCAGTTCTACCTGTCTATGCTTGAAGAGACCAAAATGGAGTTTCTCAAAGAGTTGGACGACATCTTCAACTCACGTATGGTTTCGCTGACTCTTCTCACCTCCAAAGTGGAGGAAGCGGTCCGTAAGACACAACAGATCTCACTATTTATGGACAGAACCCGAAAGTTTGCGTCGGCGGCCGAAATGATTCAATACAAGTCTGTAATCGATGGCAAATTGCAGGCAATACTTAACTTCAATCCCGACGCTAACATACCATCGCATGAACTCGAGTTCGTCTCCAACTATCAGGCGATTCAGGTATTGTTGATTTGTTTGTGCTTTTGTTTTTGTTATTACCATATATTGAACAATGATATGAGACAATAATTTGATGATATTTGGTATTGCATTGTATGATTGGTGTTAACCTTGTATTTGGTGTGAGAGTAAGCCCTCTCTCGCACACAAACTGTGATATTGAGTTCAAGTTCGCATCGATTTAGTCGAAAATAGTTGATTAAAAAGAGTCGTTGATGTCTAGCGCACAGCCAGTATATAGAGAACAGTATTTTCCGATATATATGTGTTCAATGACTGAAGACTGGGAGGGCATGCGTTTGGATGGAAATTTCCAGCCATTGTATAGCGAATAGTGAATAACAGTTTTGAGTTCTGTATGACTGCTCTCTCGCCTCAATCGACCGAAAGAGCGAAACATTTCTATATTTTCCAACGTTTTTGTAAACAAAAGCCCAACGCTTTGATCGAAGCCTTCAAAGCATAGTATAAATGGGAACGGGAGGAGAGGGAGAGAGAGATTCATTTGTATGAATAAGGCATACATAAAGAGCCATAGAAAGGGAAGGTGCTGTCTGTGTCCCAAATTTGAGCTAATATTGCATTTGAGGCACTAATCTATGAGTGCAGTGAAAGCTGCGAATCAAAAACATTTTAATCCCCGGCCATCGATATACACGTCTGGACTCTCAACCAAAATGAAAAACAGTCTCTCCATCCCTGCTCTCCATCTCTCAACTCTCCCTTCCATTCGTTGCTTATAATCAGTATATTTGTCTCATTCGAGCGCTCTATGTCTGGCTGTCTTTGTCTCCAAACTGATGCCTTTCCCGATCCCTTCTCTCCTACTCTCTCCCCATCCCTAACAAACATAGACTCTAGTACTCAATGAATGGTCTGTTTTTCTAATAAATAATGTATCGAATTGTAAGTCAGCATCACATGAATGCTTGCAATCCTATGTAAAATCAGTTATGAAATATAAGAGCAGAGATGTAGACAAAAACACTATATTTAGAGACACACTGTTTACGAGAGGAATGGCATCGAAATAATTACTAAATAGTTTGACAAAATATATTGTTTTCCTGTTTATCAAACTTTTACTATAAGTACTACTAATTAAGGAATAATAATGTGTATTATTGTTGCATTTGATATTCACATGATTATCATTTTCCTCTAAAATATTTTCTTTGTTTTATATGAGATTTGTGTTTAGATTTTGCTTTAATTCTTGATATATTTCCTACAAAACAGACTATTGAACCCAATTTTGTTTTATAATATTTTTAGATCTAATACTAATTATCCGTTGATTTAAAGTGTTGAGGATTTGTGGCTTAAATGTAATTATTACCAATATATTTATATATTGTCAACATTATTGCAAATTGTGATAGTTTTGTATTTTGTAGAATGTCATTTAAATGGTGTTTAAAATTATTCCAATGAATATATTGCTCATAATTTATAAAATTAAAGGCTTTTAATGTTTATTATGCAATAAAACACGGCTTTAAATAGACATACAGAATATATTAGGAATTTTTGGTATCGATTTTAGCGCAACTTATTTCCCCGAAAATGTGTAATAATATTCTACATTACATTCGCTGGCAATCGATATATTAGTCACAAAATTTCCCAAATTATTCATTTTCTTCATTGTTTCGGCGTTTTAAGCATTTTTGACGAAGAATTTGTGTTTTCGATATTAATTATAGTAAATGTTTTATCATAAGTTTATTTTGCAGACACAGTATTATGTTTTTGATTGCATTCACGTTATGCTAATAAACTTCAATATAATTTGTTTTTTATATATTTTTCTTTATTTTCTGCTCTAATGTCTGCATAAATACAAATTCATTGACCTTTTCTTACGCTCTTATTATATCAAAGCAAAGAAATGAATTATTTGATAACTAATAAACTTTTTTCCTCAAATTTCTCTACAATTCAATTGAATAAACATTTTTGCCTAAAGTTTCTCTCTTTTGGGTCCGATGAGTGATTCAATTGAGAAATACCATTACCTCTCATACATAGTCTTGAAGTTGTATTCAATAATTCAATTCTTTGATAGTCTCGAAACCTAAGCTCAAAAGAAGAACTATTTTTTCCAACACATCAAAGATATAATTTTGGTCATAATCGACATTTTGATTTCCACTTGGTTATTTTGTTTTTTTGCATGTTTATACTAATTGTACACTATATGCAGTATTTAAACTTGTTTTACGAGTTAATTAGAATTAAGTTTTGATTTTGAGTATAATTGTAATTATGTTTTGCAGTGATTTTAAATGAAGTATTGAATTGTGTGAGAGATTGTAATAGCAGTTGACTTCACAAATTGTTGGAGTCTTTCATTTTGTGTTTATCTGTATTTCAAAGTTTGTGTTAACGCCTTATTTGTAGAAAAAGAAAACAGTGGTTAACGTCCGCTCACTCTTACCATTACATTATATTCTTGGCTTTTTATTCATTCATTCACTTCAATATTGTCTTCAATATTAAGTTACATATTTTCCCTATTCTTGAACTCCATATCCATTAATGCCTTAATTATCACAATATAAGCAATGTTTTTAAGAATTTTTATTGTGAAATGAAATATTTGTATTTACTTTCATTGTTATTATTTAATAATTATTTCACAAAATTAATTTAACTTTTGTTTTTAAAACTTGTTTGTATTTTAATTCTCTCTCTCTCTCTCTCTCTCTCTCTGACGAGTGTGAGTTCAAAGTTCTAGCATTTTTGTAAATAATGGTTACATTTTCCTTTTAATTTATTTAACGAGTAATTGTTATCGTTTTTCATTAAATGTCATTTTAAAAGTTTTTGTCTGATTTTCAATTTATTTTATTTCTCTAAATATTTGTTTCCAAATTTAGATCCTTTTTGTGTTGACTTTTAATTCTATTTATTGTCTTATTTCAAGTTTTTATTATATTTCGAGTATTTTTATTTAAAGATTCCTTTCAAATATTTTGGCCACAAATAAGTCATATATAAATTATATATAAATCATTTGGTTTATAAGCAATTTTTATATGTTTTTTATCACTATTTCTTATTACATGTCTTTTGTCACGCGATTTGAATTTATCTTCTCTTCGTTTGCAAACCTTATGATTAAACTCTAATAACTTATTTGAGTTCATGACTCGCTGTGAGACTCACTTTAATTCACTCGCTATAAGTCTGTTGTGTTGTCTTTGACTTCAAAACTTTTTGTTTTAATTTTTTTGATATGTAATCACATTCATTATGTTTAGACATAACCGCACATAAATGCAAGTGAAAGACATTTATAATAAATTACTCGTTCATTGCATTACACTATAACCACAATTTCACTTTCCATCCATACTTACCTTTGTTCCCAAATCAAACAAAATCTCTTGTAATCGATTGAAAACATCATATTTTACTGATTTGTGGTTTTTAAGAATCAATGTTAACATAAATACATTATAAATTAAAGATAATGGTTTATTTAATGGAAGATAATTAGCATTTAAATTGTGTTATAATTTGTTTATTTGTCGAAAAAATGAAAGGTTTGATAACAAACAGAAAACATTCAAACAATTAAAGCATAATTTTGTTTTATATCAAGTATTTTATGAGTTTATTCAACTTAATTGTCTCTTATTTTTAACTTAATTTTCATAAACAAAACGAAACATTAATTAATCAAAAAATGTTTTTGTTTGCCATTCACTCACCTATAGGTTGGTATTCGCAACACATTTGGATACATCCGGTCGTCATCTAGTGATGGCAAACAGCCCCCAATCAGTCGTCCAAATGGCTTGTCTTCATCCGCTATATACCAGAATGGCTTTGACTCCACTCCCAGCCTCTTATCAAAGCGTTTCACATCCAACACAACCAACTCCTGCCCTAATGGCTCGTCGGTCTCATCGATCCGCTCATTCTCTTCGGCTTCAATCACTGATCCTTTGAATATGTTTTACGAGAAGTGGTCGATAGGAGGGGGTGGGGGCGGAGGCTCCGGATCGTCACCCGATTCGGCTCTCTTCACAAACGGAAGCACAACTCTTACCGAACAATTCAATGCACTCTCAGATCCCGTAATCGATTTGTCGGCTAAACTGATCTCCGCTTCATCTCTACTGCCCATCAAATCGCAGATTAAAAGACAGAAAATGATATATCACTGCAAATTCGGCGAATTCGGTGTTATGGAGGGACAGTTCACCGAACCGTCGGGTAAATGCATTGCTTTTATTGCTTTTTCGTTTTGTTTTGTTTTTTATCGTTTGCTATGCTATGAGTTCTCTAACCTTTAGATAGTATGGAAACAACAATAAAAGATTAGTTTTAATAATTGATTGTTTGTTGACTGAGACAGGAGTTGCGGTGAATGCGCAGAACGACATAATAGTGGCCGACACTAACAATCATCGGATCCAGATCTTCGACAAAGAGGGCCGATTCAAGTTCCAGTTCGGCGAATGCGGCAAAAGGGATGGACAGCTCCTCTACCCTAACCGAGTGGCTGTTGTCAAGCAGTCGGGAGACATCATAGTTACCGAACGCTCGCCCACACACCAGATCCAGATCTACAACCAATACGGACAGTTCGTACGCAAGTTTGGCGCCAATATTCTGCAACACCCGCGCGGCGTAACCGTCGATAATAAGGGACGCATTATTGTTGTTGAATGCAAGGTATGCCCCACTCCTTCGCAATACTCGACACTATTAATGAATGATTTGTTTGAATATTAATTGAATGGTTGACTGGTTTGCAGGTAATGCGAGTCATAATCTTCGATCAGGTGGGAAATGTGCTGCAAAAGTTCGGATGCAGTAAACACTTGGAGTTCCCGAACGGTGTGGTCGTGAACGACAAGCAGGAGATCTTCATAAGCGACAATCGGGCGCATTGTGTGAAAGTGTTCTCATACGACGGCAACTTCTTGAGACAGATCGGTGGCGAAGGGCTCACTAACTATCCGATCGGTGTATGCATTAACGAAGCCGGAGAGATACTGGTGGCCGACAACCACAACAACTTCAACATAACGATCTTCACTCAAGACGGGTGTCTCGTCAATGCGTTGGAGTCGAAGGTGAAACACGCGCAGTGTTTCGATGTGGCGCTGATGGACGACAATAGCGTAGTGCTCGCCTCCAAAGACTATCGCATTTATATCTACCGCTATCTCCAACTCCAGTCTTTGGCCGCAGCCGTCGCCGCCTCTGGTATTTGTTAAGACATTCAATACATAATCAGTCTTTCCATTGATTCGAAGTCTATATGCGATCTCTTATGAAGAGTGCTTTTGAAGACATTTTTCGTTTTTGTTTTGATTTTTCCATTAATTATTGAATTGATTAGTCTTTGCGATCAAAAAGAGAGGAAATATTACGCAAACCTAAACTAAATCTCAATTTTTTGTCGTTCTTTTGGAAAAAATATTTATATTATTATATTTAGCGCCAAATTATCGTTGAATTATTGATTAGATATTTGAGAACCAATTCTCACTCGAATTAAGGGATCAATTATTATATAACTTATTATTGATTGCATTTTTCCAATTTTGTAATTCTATTATTTATTTTTTTATATCAAATACTTTAACGAGTGGTGAAAAGTAGACTCAATTTTTCTGTCCACTACTCGACTGTTTATACAAATTTCACAAACCATTCAATTTGAGTGAAGATTTTGATTCATATTATATTTGAAGAGAAATTTGATACTAAGTTTGTTGTCCCACAAAAACGTTATCAATATTACGATATAAAACAAGCGATAAATTTGATGCAACTTTTCAAATACAAATCATATAATCGTTTTGCTGTCAAAGCAATAATTGAATAATTTTTTAACAAATTGTTAGTTTTGTGTCGTATTTAGCGGTTACTGATTGGATAGAAAACACATAGAAATCATTGATTGATATGGATTTTGATATATTGTTATTATTATTGATTATTATTATTATTGATTATTAACTACTTTTATTATTATTATTTCTGGTCTTTTTTGTCTTTTTATATTTGATTGCTTTGTTTATTCGCTTATTATTATTATTTTTATTATTATTTATTATTAATAATATTATTTTTATTTAATTTTAGTTTAGTTATGAAGACTACACACAAACAAAAATACATTTATATATGAATTATTAATATTATTTGTTATGAATCGCTAGTCAATCAGTTTTAATTCCGAGACAGTGACCAACAAATGAATTACCGCTTACTTAACCCCTCTATCGCTAATGTCTCGTGTTTTGCACCTTTTGTTTAAGTTTTCAATAACTTTTCACTATTGATATGAAATGTATGTTATTATTAGTTTTTTATTATGAAAATTCAATTATTTAGTTATTTTTATTATAAGTTGTTATTAGTTATTATTATTCATTATTTAATCAAATGTTTGTTGTCTACAATTGGCATAACTATTGTATTATTGAAACCTATTTTGTAAGTTATTTTCTCTTTTCTGTACTACTAGTCAACTAAACTCTCAAATTATTATTATTATTTGCATTAGAACTCCAAAAATCCCACACTTTTTCGTTTGCTTTTAATTAAAACATTGTTTTTTCTGTGAATATAATTTTGGTCTCAATTGTATTTTTGCTTTAATATTAAAATTAATTTCTACTTTTGAAATGCATATCAATATTGAATATTATATTTAAAATACAGGTATTGTTATAATAATCGATTGGCACTAAAATTCATGTCAGTATTACTTGTGATCCAATAAATGCTTTAAA